GAGGGAGTAGTACCCGTCATTAAAACCGCATTAGAATATGCTACAGCATATTTAAAAAAAAAGAAATATTTTTCGGAGCTTATGTAAGCCAAGTGTAGTAAAAAATGATTTTTATTAGTTGTAAAATTTTTAAATGTACGTTTTTACAGCGTATTTGGTTCTTCTTTGTTTCACATTAAACGATAAATTAAAGAGAAATTGTTTCAAAAAAAAGGAATATTTTTATTTAAATACCTAGTATAATTTTTTATACTCTAAAACATGCTAAAGATCTTTTGTAATAGCTTAAGGCCAATTTTTAACACAATTTTAATTGAATTTACTGCCATTTACGTATTATTATTTCTTTCAATTCATTTTAATTTTTGGGACAATTTTGTGATAATTTTTATTTTATAACAGCCTAAAATGTCTAAATAAATTTAATCTGGATATTATGCAGTTTAAGAAAGAAGTTTAAATTGTTATAACTTGAAATACAGCTTTGTAAGTTTTGCAGTATGTTTGTGATCATTGTCTTGTTGAAAAATGTTATCTTGCAGATCCATAAATCTAACCGGATTAAATAAACTATTAGATAAAATATTCACATAGTATTCAGAATTTGTTTTACCTTTTATAAAAACAAGCTTTCCTACACAAAGGTATATAAAACATCCCCATACCATTTCTGACCCACCATCATAATTTACAGTAGCAGGCAAATTACATGTTTTAAGGTCTGCACCGGCTTCCCACCATACAGAAACTTTACCATCAGAGAAAAAAAGGCAGAACTTGCTCTCATCTGAAAAACATATCTTCTTTATCTCATTATCTGATAATAGTAACATTGTCTACTTTTCTTAAACTGGCACAAAATGTTTTTTTTGAAAAGAGTGGTTTTTTTATTGGAGTAAAAGCTCTAATATTATAATCAACAAGTGCCTTTTTTCAGTTGAATAGGAGGGCTTTTGATTAATCTTCGCTTGCAGTTCAATAGATAGTTTTCTTAATGATGTTTTAGGATTTTTTAATTATTTTTAAATAAAGCTATAACATCATTATCTTGTAACTAATTTTTCTGCCAAACCTCTTAAATCAATCAATTTTGCCTTTTTCTTTCATATTTTTTACAATTGTAAATACTGTACTTTGTAAAATCATAAATTTTCTTATGATTTTATTTGAGGCGTTTTTGGTTAGAAAGCAAAATAATTTCAATAATGTTTTATAAGTCAACTGCACATAGAGTTAATTAATAAAATATAAAAAAATGTATTTTTGGCGAAAAAATTTGTAAATTTTGAGCCAAAAATTATAATATTTTTTTTTTAAACAAAAGAAAAAAATTTAAGATCTAGCTTAAAAAAGGTGTAAAATTTTAATAAGTTGTAGTGCAAAATTGTCTTAATAAATCACAATAGTTATTTATTAAAAAAATCTTTATCTTTAAAGAAAATTCAGGCAAAGAACATATTACTTTTTTTTAACAAAATGTATATTGTAGAATCTAGATCGACAAGTGTTTTATTTCTGATAAAAATCTATCGAAAAGCTGGAAGCATTATACACTTCGAAAATTGGAAAGCTTTTAGAAGCTTATCTAACTTAGATGATTTAGGACCCCCACTGTTTTGTCAAAAATATATTTTTGTAAATTCTATTACAGGGGTGCATATAGCAACTTGAATCTTATCAAAAAAAAAAGCCAAAGTTTTGAATTACAGTAAGAAAGATAATGTCTTTAGCTCGAAGAAAGGCGTTTATATTAGAATTTATGTTTAGAGAGCGGCATGCTGCTAATTAATTTTTATCTTTAATAAAATAAATAAATGTTTTTTTTTTAACCCGTGAGGTCTTCTTTCGATGACTGCTTACATTTCAAAAAATATTTCTTTGGGGGTTAAAAAATTAAATGAACATTATAATCAATTATTTATTTTAAACAAGCTTACACTATCCCATTAAAAACAAGATTACAAATAAAAAGTGTGTTCTTCTTTTCAATGAATTTAATACGCATTTATGCGTATACTTATTTTATATTTTTAAATCCAAATTGGCCCTTTTTATAATAAGGAAATTGGATAATGCACCTCAAATTTACAATTTTTTTGACTACCCTTGTTTATAAATTTTTTATCCCTTATTTTTAAAATGCTGCACACAGAAGAAGAACTAGGAAATATTTTGAATAATTTTAAAGAAAGAATATTAGTTAAAAATTGTCTCGAGTGTTGGGAAAATATTTCTTTTTACACCGATGGAAGAGTTGTTTGTTGCAACAAAATAAATAACATAGATATTCGACTTATAAGAATACATGTTTTTGTCATAGGAAAGTTTCAATAATTACAATATTAAAAATTATTGATTTTTTTAAATAACGTGCTATATGAACTTATTGCATATATAAGTGGGTTGTCCAGAAACAGGGCAACAAATATAATTTACATGTTTAATTATAGTTCCATACTGGACTATTATTTTAACACCTTTAAATTGGGATGAACATGCAATATAATTGAAATAGATGAGAGCAAGTTTGGAAGAAGAAAATATAACAGAGAGCATCACGTTGGAGGAGTATGGGTCTTTGGTGGTGTAGAAAGAAGAACTAAGAAGATTTTTCTTGTATTTTTTGAAAAAAGAAACATTAGAAAATATTCTGAAGGCCCAAGTAAATCTTTATAGTATTATTTATTCTGATTGCCGAGAAGCATACAACGATCTAAAAAATATTTTTTTTGCTCATAAAACAGTTAACCATAGAAAGGAATTTGTGAACAGGAAAGAAAACGTACAAACTAACACCATTGAGGGCAGGTGGAATGCTATAAAAAGAAACATCCCATTTAGAAACAGAACAAAAAAGCTTGTTACCATTTATCTACTTAGATTTATGCTATTA